GGAGAGTGACATGGGGGGAGAGGTGGGGGTGAAAGGAGAGTGACATAGGAGGGGAGAGGAGGGGATGAGAGGAGAGTGAGATAGGAGAGGCGGGGGTTGAGAGGAGAGTGACATAGGAGGGGAGAGGTGGGGGTGGGAGGTGAGGGGAGCGGTGAGAAGAGGAGTGGAGGAGACGGGAGAATCAGATCGGAGAGCAGAGGATTGGAAGACAGATGAGGAGGGGAAGGCAAGAGGAGAGGAGAGTGAGATAGGAAAGGAGTGGGTAGTAAGGAAAGGAGAGGCGCCGAGGAGAGAAGGGAGTCTATCATATGAGCCCATCTGAATGTTAATGCTGTTGCCTTGCAGCTGATCTGCATGCTCCCTCCATACTCCGTGGCTACCTCCTAGTTTTCATTAGCAACATGAATTATGGATCTGCCCCCCTGCATCTAAATGGTGAGCATTATGCTGTTTGTGATGATCTCTCTCCCCCCTCTCTCTCTCTCTCTCTCTCTCTCTCTCTCTCTCTCTCTCCCCCCCTTTCTAAGGCTCATCTCAATGGCCGCCAGAGCATATGATCGTAGCACAACTATTAGAGGTGTGATGCTGAAACACATTTCCACACCTTCAGCCTATGCCCTCTGAGACATTGATAGTGGAGAACTAGACGCGCACACACACACGTGCACACGCACACGCACACACACACACACGCACACACAAACACGTATGTATGCATGCACGTAATCCCAAACAAAGCCGGGAAGAGTTACACAGCTGCTGTTTGTAGTCGAATGTAGGATCGGATTGCGATCGTGAAATGTGCAGAGCGGGGGACAAAAAAGAAAACACGGGAAGGATCAAAAGAAACAGGAAAGACAATTAAACGGACAAACATGTAACCTGACAAGGTGAGGGGAAAGGGACGCGGCGAGAGATGGAGGTCGACGGCGAGGAGGCGGAGTCAGGGAGAGAGAGAGAGAGAGAGAGAGAGAGACGGTGCTCGCCTGGCCGCCCCGCTCGCCCGCTCGCCCGGCTATAAGCGCGGCCACCTCCGCCGTTTCTCATGTGGCGCAGGTTTTTTAGAGGAGACATCAGTGGAGCGATTGAAGCCGGACGCTGCGTAATAACAGCTCACTAAAAACATTACTGCCCCTCATAAAAGATCCCAACCTCACTTTAACGGCCGCCGATATGTTTCCTTTGGCCTCTGCCAGGAGAGAGGGGACACGTATGAAACAGCGGGGAGAAGTGTGTGTGCGTGTGTGTGTGTGTGTGTGTGTGTGTGTGTGTGTGTGTGTGTGTGTGTGTGTGCGCGCTTGCATGTGTGTGTGTACGTCATAGAGGTCAGTGGAGATGTCGTAACGTAGATAATCTGTGTGAACGTTCGGTCAAAACCGGAGAGAGCCTGCATCCTGCGTCCTGCGTCTGCCTCCCCCTCCTCCCCCCCCCTCCCCCCCCCCCCCATCCCCCCCCCCCGCCGCTGCTCTCTGCGTTAAAGTTAAAGGAGCCGTGTGATAAGAATAGTCCCGCTGTGGCGCGCGGGATGACATCAACCTATCATTGGCTGCTTTTTACGAGCTCCTCCAACCAGCATGAGGAATCATTCAGGCCGCGGGCAATACCAATGGCGATATGCACGCACAAACACACGCACACACACACACACACACACACACACGCACACACACGCAGTAGACCACACAAAATATCCTGTGCAGTCGTTTCGAGTTCCTGACTTTTTTACAAGATGAACTTCTGCTCTCGCCACCATATTTTTGGATACGGTGCCCGCCGTTTTTTTTTTTTTCCTCTTCTTCTTCTTCTTCTTTTTCTTCTTCTTCCTCTTTTCTGAACCCACTCCAAAGTAACCGTTTAAACTGACGACTCAGTGTTATGGTTGGAGTGCGAACAGAGGAGCAAACACACATCACAAGCGGCGCTCGCGTTCAAGCCTCACAGTCTGGCTCATATAATGTCTTTACAATCGCAGAAAGAAAGGAGATTAGTGTGGAAGGAAGGAAGGAAGGACTCTATAGGAAGAAGAAATAAAAACACATTAAAACAATACGCTACTTCGGTACGCCGGTTCAGCGGAGATTAAACAAGACAAAAAAGCCCTACTGAGACGGGAAAATCTGACATTTGCGCCGCTTTTTTCGGGCAATTTTGCTGACTTTTAAGTGCACAAACAAATCGAGTTCACCTGAGTGTGCGTGGGCCGCGTGCCCCCAGTCGACGCGGGCCAAAATAAGACTAAGTAATAAGTATAAGACCGGGTATTAAGTGCACTTGATGGACTCGGAGGCCTGCCGGACGTAGTTAAGGGTGAAGAGTTTAGCGAATACAACATTTGCCTCTATATAAGAAAGAGATGCTTTATTATTTGTTCCTGTGGGGGGAAAATGTGTTTGCAGCATATCTAATAGACATACTCATACACATCGCTATACTTCGCTTCTTGCAGTAAACCCCCAACCACCCCCAACCTACCCCTGACACCCACTACCCCTTACACATCCCCTGTCACACCCCCCATGTCCCTATCTGGTCTCCACACTGCACTACTCTATTTATATTTCTGTGTTTTAAAATCCACAATTCATTTGCACTACTGTTTGTTTATTTATATTTATTTATAAAACCATTTTGCACAGTTTCATCTATTGCACCACTGCATTTTGTACTTATTTTATCTTATTTTTATTCTTTATTTTTGTGATATTTTTATTTTCATTTACTCTATAGGTAATTGCACTATATGTACCATTGCTACTATGACGACTGAATTTCCCTTCGGGGAACAATAAAGTTCGTATCTAGCTATCTAAATTTGGTGTAGGAAAAAAGAAAGAACAGGCTAAGACTGTGGGAGGGCGACTCTTCCTCCGGACCAGCTGTGCATCCTCTGTGACCAGGAAGGATGGGTTACAGTGCATGGGGGGGGGGGGGGGGGGGGGGGGGGGGGGGGGTAAGGTGCTGACCCGTCCAAGGCTTGTGGTACCAATGAAAACTTGGCACTATTTTTAGTAACTACAGGGAGGTGAGATGGCAACCGTTCAAACGAGGAGGCGAGGGAGTTGTGTGTCTCTGGTCACCCCACAGTGTTGCGCCGTGTTCACCGTTCAGTCAATTCATTAATTAATAATTAATAATAATTAATTGCATTTATATAGCGCTTTTCAAGATACCCAAAGCGCTTGAGTGTGTGTGTGGGGGGGGATATGACACCTCATCCGCTACCAAAAGATGCATTCTGTACATCTAATCACTGTCATCAGCTTACTGGCTGTTGTTACAGGTTTTACCGGACAGACTACCACAGCACTCCTCTAACGCCCCTGCTAAATGAGTGAGTGAGTGAGTGAGTGAGTGGCGACAGATTGACAGCAGACAGTGAATGTCAAGAGCAAACTGGACATTAGGAGGGGGACAGGGGAGAAGAGAGACGTTTAGAGGACACAGCAATACTATGGTTTGGTCACCTCCGAACGCCAGCCCTGTTGGCGTGTGAACAACAAAAGGACATTTTTTGTAGTGGGCTTTGTTGTGTCATATTTGTGTTAAATCCTGTAGTAGTCCATGTTTGATGTTCCTCTCTATGCTCGGTGAACATATCTCCCCTCTCTCTGCCCACTAATCGCATTTACTCCTCCTAAGGTGAACTGCACTCAGAGAGAATCAGCCGCAGCCTGCCAAGCTTGCTGCTTCGCCACGACCCACCTGGGTACCGGCGCTGTCAATCGTCCCTTATAATCCCATTCGAGTTTAATTCCTTATTATTTTTAATGCTCACATTTAGCCGATCATTAATATTTACTAGGTACCTTCTTAAATGGTCAGGAGTGGCGATCGCTGTGTGTGGGTGCATCGCTTTTTTTTTGCCATTTCTGATAACATTATTTGTTAGCAGCACAACGTGAGTTTGTGATTCGGTCGGACTCTGACTGAAAACTTTATTGTTCATCAGACGCGACGAAAGCATTTTCGTTTTAACATGCGGGTGGATTCTGCAGCAGTGGTTCTCCGCTGGCTCCAATTCAGACATAAGCCTTCGCACTGTGAATTTCCTTCTTTTTAAAAAATGAAAATTGAACTACGATGGTTACCGGGCAGGAGAACATTTCCCCGGTGTAAAATGTCACCACACCATGGCAAGGCAACACAAAAATAATACAGATTCAAATAATTCAGCAGTCGATTAGTTTTACTATTCAAATTACATTCGACTCCCGAAAATTCGTTCCAAGTGCGGACACACACACACACACACACACACACACACACACACACACACACACACACACACACACACACACACACACACACACACACACACACACACACAACACACCCCCCTCAAGCTCAAACACCTGGCACGCCTGTCCATTTGCAGGCATGTTTGGCATGGGCGGTGGCCAGGTAAAGCCGGAGGCCAGCTCTCCCAAGGCCAGAGGAACGGCAACGCCTGCCTACTAATGTTCTGGTGTTCGCGGGTTGGCCAAGGTCGGCGCCGGCGGGGATATGGCAACCCGCCTCACACCTGACCGGAGCAGTGTGTGACCCCGATAGCTACGACTGGGCTGACATAGGCTGGATCATGCAAAACTGACTGACTGTGTGTGTGTGTGTGTGTGTGTGTGTGTGTGTGTGTGTGTCCGCAGGTTGTGATTATTTTATGCCAAAATTTGCCGGAGAAAATTTAATGAAAAATAAATTTAGCCAAAGCTGGCACAATGTTTGATCAGAGTTAAGCTGTTAAACTTGTGTGTGGCCAACGGACAGAAGTGAGGAATTACAATTAAACCATTACAGTCGCCGTGGGAGCAGGGGAAGAGAAGCGGTGCATAAAGAGAAAAGACTCTGGGTTGGTCTAAATAATAGAATCAACAGAGTTTAGTTTAGTTTGTCTGATGAGAACAATTCCTGGCTTGTGTTTTTGTATGGATTGGGGAATAGAAATGAAAACAGCAAAATTGGCCATTTGGTGGACATGCAGTGCAGACATTGTTTAGCATGGGTGGTCCCAGTAGGAATCGAACCGCTGACCATGGCAACGTTACTGCGATGCTCTACCGGTTAAGCTATAAGTAAATATATATATATATATATATATATATATATATATATATATATTACAAGTATATAAGTAATAGCAATACCTAACAGTACCTTGAGAAAGAACTGAAAAAGTTATGAAAAACATTGTTCTTACCTGGAGTCGTCAAAACCAGCAACATCGACAGCAACATGCAAGAAAAACACAAGGCATGTTGATTAGATATAAAGTATACAGACAATTAAAAATACTAATCCATCCATAGATGCTATCTGTACATAACTGAGTGGCGCATATCTTGTTTTGCTGAGCCACCATGAGGCTGATTAACCTACAGCCCCGTGACAGACTCAGACGGTAATTAAGAAATCCAATAAGGATTTATTTTGTTTTTACAATATTTTAGTTTCTAGCAAAAATAATTACTGCACATAAGAAAATGTAGCACAATGATAATTTAATAATGTGGACGATGTGAATACATAATGCAACGCGCTGCAAAATAGCCCAACAAGAATAGAGATTAAAGTGAATTTAAAATGAGTGGGATTACTTTACTGTGATAAGGCCTTTAAGACAAAGGTTGGCAAATACAGCACACAATGAATAGCCCTAGAATACATAAAACGATAAAACAAATAATTAACTTGTTTTATTCATTAATAATAATTCCTAGCTTTACCATCATGTTAAGAAATCATCTTAACCGGCCAACTGCCACTTAGTCATGAAAGATTTGATTTGAACGCAACATCAGCAACAAAGAAAACGGATGCAAGACATAAAATATGAGGCGAATATAGTGTATTTTAATGAAAATAATATAATCATGAAAGTATAGTGTTGCAAAATCACAGCAACTCTCCACAACAACAAATTAAAGTTGAAATATGTTGATTGGTGCTACTGTGTTGTGTTATGGTGGAGACAACATTGAATAGTTTTTTTGTTTGCTCTGTGGTTCACCACATCGTGACATGACGCAATAATGGGGGGGCATATTTACTGCGAGGTGGAGAGCAGCAATTAATGAAGGCTAGGAGTGTCTCTGCTTTGCCGGGAGACGAAGAAGACAGCGCATCACAACAACAACTGAGGACATGTTTTAAACTCGGGCGACCCGGTGTGTCAGCCGGGCCTGTGGTACCGGAGCAAGATGACATCGGACAACATGAAGGAGACAGTGCATCAAATGAATCCAATTTCCAAATAAATCAACACACACACACACACACACACACACACAAACAAACAAACAAACACAGAGTCGCAAAGATACACAGTCACACACACACACACACAGACACACAGTTGCAAATACACACACGCAGCACACAACCCCCCCCCCCCACACACACACACACACACACACACACACAAACTAAGGCATGCACAACATTGGACACAATTTCAATTGTGATACTTTTCTTCTTTGCAATATATATATATATAAATTTGTGACATTTTTTTTGCGATATGAAAACAAATAGGGACATGTTTTTTCCTCCAGGAAAACATTAGGCTATATAACATTAAAAACTGACTCTGCATGAACATCTCTCATTCTGTATGTGCGATGTCCGTGAAGCTCGCTGTTGTTTTGTTTGTTTTCATTATGCTCCAGCTAACTGTGGCGACAGTGCTAATGTGGCTAGGCTAATGTGGCTAGGCTAATGTGGCTAGGCTAATGTGGCTAGGCTAATGCATTGAGTCTGACCTGTGAGTGGTACCTGTGTGGAGAAGCAAAACCACTCCATGTATTCATTGCCAATCTAGTGTCTTTCACGAGGGCAGATTGCGTTTAAAGCAACCTGTGATGTATTGTGCGAAATTAAAACAAATGAACCAATAAACTCGCTTACTTGTTTAAAAGACGGGCGCTTCTTCTACATTAGTTGGAAAAATGACAACCTTGACTTTTTTTCCTTTTTGTGTCGAACTACAAAAAGGTTTTAGCATGATGAGTGACTGGTCTAATTAGCAGATATCGCGCACATCACAATATCGATGCTGAAACGATACATCGTGCAGCCCTAACACACACACACACACACACACACACACACAGTCCCACACACAGAGTCCCACACACACACAGTCACACACACACACACAGTCCCGCACACACACAGCGATAGAGGATGACGAGCAACAGGGACTGGGTTTCAGCTGTCAGAAGCATGGAGAGCATCCATACAGATGACAGCTAGGTAGCTATGAGGCATGAGAACTACTGAGGCACACACACACAAAACCACACACAACCACACACACACACACACACACACACACACACAACCATACAACCACACACACACACACGCAGAGGCCGTGGCAAGCTCCACACAGCGCCAGACCCGAAGTGCCACGCGCCACGCTCAGCAGCACACAGACACAAGGCAAACGTCACACACGCATGCACACACACATGCACACACACACACACACACACACACACACACACACACACACACACACACACACACACACACACACACACACGCACACACGCACACACACACACAGAAGCAAACACAGTACAATTCTCTGTTGGCTTTCAAAACAAAGGCATTAATCATCATTACACACATACACAACCACACACAACCACACACACACACACACACACACTGAGCATGGGTTGGCTTAAACCGGGGAGCCTGCGGGACTCGTCAAAGAGACACACGCTGACACTTCCATGCAGCCATTACTGTTGCTGTCATAGCAACCAAGGTCAAGTGGTCTTACACTCTGGGAGTGTTTTGTGTGCACGTGTGTGTGTGTGTGTGTGTGTGTGTGTGAACATGTGTGTGCACATGTGTGTGTGTCTGTGGGTGCCTGTGTGTGCCTATGTGTGTGTGTGTGTGTGTGTGTGTATGTCAGATCAGTGCGAGAAGGAATTGAGTCTCTCTTCCAGTAGCGGTAGTAGTAGGAACTAATGAGCTTGTCTCCGTCGGGGGGACATATAAAGAGACAACACAACAAGCCACTGGGCTCTGAGGTCAGAACTCGCCGGACCACAAGCGGTGAATGAGAAGAGGGAAAGTGAGCCAAGACTAAAAAGCGAGTCTCCATATAATTAAACACAAACTGATGTGTTTGGACAGATAAAGTTTGAGCCTGAACCTACAGACCTACACACTCTGTAATTATTACCGCATTACACATATCAGCCTAATTACGGTTGTTTTAAATATCAAACAGAATTAGACGTTAGTTGCCAGTAGGTCTGTTTCTAATATCCGAGCGCAAGAGTGGAAATTGTTCAGCGGTATGGATCAGCACAAGGTCAGATTTCCAACGGTACAACAGATGGAATATGAAGTGTAGTCGACAACAGTCAAAATTCAAAAAAGTGTCCCTTATTTTTTTTAAATCGTAGAATAAGTAATGCACTGGCTGCTTCTTTTTATGTGTTTATCACATGTCTGTTTGCCGGCAAATGCAACACTTACGTCGCATCATTGGGATAAATAAACATTTTTGCGTCAAAGGCAGAAACTGTCAATAACAGCAGTTTCACTTTCACAGATTTTGCAGATTTGTAAGGTCTTCATTGTGTTTTCGTTGTTTATTTTACAAGACGCATTAAATCCTGAATAGTAAGCCACCCCTGCCGATGGAGACGTCTCAGCGGCGCATCTCTTGATAGCGAATCATGTTTCACACATTGTCAAAGACAGACGCCAAACTCTGCCGGTGACATGTTTGACGTGAGACCTTTTTGAAGTATCAACCCAACATCTGAAGGTTTTTGAGTTCCCCCCTCTCACCAGCTCAACACTGTTTCCCGCTTAAGACGGCGAGGGACAATCACACACGCAGACTGCAAACACGGCCGTGTGTGTGTCTGTCAAAAGGACTGCGATGTGCGGAGGCGCGTCAAAACATCATTAAGAGCTCGCTAAGAAACCGACTTCGCTCAAAACACTCTCAAATCTGTGCACAAGGGGGGAGATCTCGGCCCATACAAATGATCGCCGACTTCTGCATCAAAACAAACACACACACACACACACACACACGATGAAATGCAGACCGACTCACACACACACACAAACACACAATGAAATGCAGACTGACTATCTCACACACACACACACACACACACACACACACACACACGCAGAAACACAGACTGACTCTCTCTCTCTCACACACACACACACACACACACGATGAAATGCAGACTGACTCTCTCACACACACACACACACACACACACACACACACATCCAACCCTACTCAGACAGTCGGTGTCTGTGACTCGGGGCTGACTCTGGTGGCTTTGATCCCATTGGCTGCGGACGAGGACCCTTTTGTGGCCATACAAACCTCCAAGGCCTCGTAAAAGTAACATCAAACAACTTGACAAATAGGATCGGCATCTGCCCCAGACACGAAAACACACACACACACACACACACACACACACACACACAGTATCAATATTGAGACTCAGACATCAAGAGGGAGAGAGGGGGGGAGGGTCTTTTAATGAACCGTGCCCTCAGCCCCCCCTTGGGCGGCGCTAAGAGGACGCATCCATCCATGCACCCTAAATAAAAACACACAGAGAAAAACACAATCCTTCTTCTCCTTTTCCCCCACTTCTTTCGTTATTGCGTGTCTCTCTCGCACAAGTCGTTCCCAATGGGGGATTAGCACGCGTGTGTGTGTGCGTGTGTGTGTGTGTGTGTGTGTGTGTGTGTGTGTGTGTGTGTGTGTGTGTTGTCCTCTCGGTAAGTCGTCGTCCCGGTTATGAATGAGATCATTAGCCTAACAAGGTCCTCTGGCAGCGACTGTGTGGTCTGCATTTGACACTCCATCTTTATATGCAGACACCCTCCGACTCGATGTCCTGCAGAAGTGGGCAGGGATCCCTCATGGTACCTAACGCGGCCACAATTAGAATTGATGAAGGGCGGAGAGTGCGGAGAGCTCGCCGAGGGTGTCTCTCCCCGCCGCACGCGAAACCTTTAGGACTGTACAGTACGGATTTAGCAGGGCAGTTTTGTAGACGGTAAA